AATCCCAAGGATGGGGTCGCACAAAGTCGGACGCGACTGAAGTGACTTAGCAGCAGCAGCATGGCCCTCTCAGTAGCTACAAGATTGATTTAATTGATTGAGAATCTATTAACAATTAAAGCAAGAACCTTGTGCACTTGGTTTTTATTACTCTACTGTCAATAGCCCAGTCACTGAACGGTTGAAACAGAGCAAAACTCTATCCTCATTTAAAGCTTTGACTGCTATTTCAGTTTTTTTCTCCTTTTTAAAAAGTTTGTAAATTTTTTAGACGATGTGAGCTAAGTTCCAAGGAAATCCATGCTGACTCATGACTTTGAGGAGAGAGCACATTTTCTAGATGAATTTATGTTAGCAGATTTAAAAAAGAGAGACTGTAATCAAAGGAAAATCAAAACAGTTTAGATAATCAGAGATGAAGATACAGTGTCTTAAAATCAAAACAAGGGTATAACACTTGTTAGCTTTCAAAACAACTGAATGGGAGAGCAGACAAAAAGATGTTCTGCAGAAAGAAAACAACAAAATGCTTATTTCCACTGAACATTTTGATATATTGCAGGTCCAAAAACACAGGTCACAGGAAAAATGTGCTTCACCTGCCAAAATAATCATAGATAGTCTTTGAAAGTAGGAAGAGCCCAGCCCTTTAATAAAGCCCAGAGATTTTAAGCACCTTACAAAGAGTATTATCCTTCCCCCATAAAGATAATTACTCGATCTTACAAAGATATTTGTATTTTCTTAAATACAGTATTACTTTCACCATACTGAGGACCACAACAAAGATCAGGAGGATAACAAGGGATGATGGTGCCCACTATTTTGAAAGTGAACCATTGAGTGCGCAGCAGGTTAGAGCTGTTCTGCCTCCCAGAGACCTTCTTATTTTGCTGACTACATGGGGGCTGCCCTAACCCCCTGAAGTCTTTCTTATTTCTCATTCCCTATTAGACTCAGGGCACATCTAAGCAGTGCTATTTCTGGGGCAGTCCCTGGATTTTGTGTGTGGAGGTTGGGGGTACTTCCCTGGTGGTTCAGTGGTAAAGAATCCACCTGTCAAGGCAGGAAATGCAGGTTTAATCCCTGGGTGGGGAAGATCCACTGGAGAAGGAAATGGCTACCCACTCCAGTATTCTTGCCTGGGAAATCCCATGGACAGAGGAGACTAGCAGGTTGGATTTCAGGGGCAGTCCCTGTATTTTACTAACTATAGTTCTGTTGGGAATTGGTAGATTGTCTTTGAGAAACTTTCTGTTAGAAGAGTAGGCTGACTTGGCTTTGAGATCAGCAGTGAAAAAGCTCCACAGATAAAAACGGAGATGCTGAAACTCAGAACTGTTACAAAGCAGTTTGGGACAGTCACAGTGGGGTACAACTGCCAGAGGAGACCACTTTGGTGCCAGCAAACATTTAATTTTCTTCATTAATTTCTCAGCTTGTAATTGTTTTGCACCATGATAGGGAAGTTTCTTAAAGTCATGTGGAAACCTGAATGATGACTGTGGTGCAGCAGGAAAAGCAGACATAATGTGGTCTAGGAATTTTTAAACTTAGTTCTTCAATTGTTTTAAAACAAAAGGGTCATTGTTCGTTTTTGAAGTAGATCTTTTTTCTTTCCTCCTTTTGAGATCCAGGATGTGTTGTTTATTTTTATATGACCACCAGAAAAACTCTAGCCGGAAATTCTGAAATCTTACTGCACTTGAAAGCTTTCTTTTTAAGTATAGGTGCTGAAAGCATAATTGAAGGCATCAGTAGCCATATGGGGCCTAAGCAAAAATTCTTGAAATGAAAGAAGCTACAAGTAGTGTGGTTATAAATTAAATTCCAAATTTGGATAAATATACTGATCAAAAGCCAAGAGAATTTCTAATATCTTAGTAGTTAAATTATTTAGGAATAAGGCATCAATGGTGATATGTCACAACAAGAAAGTGAACATGGATACACTCTTGTCTGATCCAACTTTTTTAATATCCCAATACAGAGATCACCAGATGTTCCTCACCCCTATTATTTGCCCTGGTTATGGTGCCCATGCTGTGATTCAGTAGGACAAGAGGACTGCTCTAAAAGTCAGGAAACTTGGGTTGGTTCCAGTTCTGGAAACCTGCGTGGGGCCTTGAGGAAGTGACTTAGCTTCAAGCTCCAGTTTCCTCCTCTTTCAGTGATATTTGTGGCATGATGCTTTCTAGACTCTTCCCGTCCAAATAATCTAGAATTCTGTAAACCTTCCTGCTGCTTCATATTTGTTCCATGCTATGAAACTTTAGGCAAACTATTTAACATGTCCAATTTTGGCAAGTGAACGTGTTAGTAGCTCAGTCATGTCCAACTCTTTGTAACCCATGGACTTTAGCTTCTGTCCATGGGATTTCCCAGGCAAGAATACTGGAGTGGGTAGCCATTCCCTTCTTCAGGGGATCTTCCTGACCCAGGGATGGAACCCCAGTCTCTGGCATTGCAGGCAGATTCTTTTTTGTCTGAGCACCAGGGAAGCCTAACGCTAACATATTTATATAAATTAAACTAATAACAGCTAGCCTGCCTGGTTTGTAAAATGGTTGCAAGGAATAAAGGTGGAAATATATATGAATATATCTTATAAATCACGGAAGCTTTAAAAGTTTAACATTGTTTTTTGATTAAGTTAGTCATTGGAAATTCCGTTATTTTTCATTTGTAAATAACATTTGTCCAATATCAGTAGCTTTTTGAAAGCTGTGCTCTTTAAACTTGGGTTGAGATATATAGGGAGTTTTCCTAATTTATCAGAATATCAGTTCTGTCTCAGTATTCTAAATATATTGTCATAAAGCAAAATAAAATATCTGGCAGCTTGCCTTAATGACACTGTGAAAAGCTTAAGGTGTCACTTTTTTATTCAAATAAAAAAAGATAAAGTTTAAAGTATTTATTTTTTCCCTTTTAGTCGACATAGCATGCATAGTGGAAGCATTTTGGCCTTTGAAGATGAAGGACTATAGATGGGTGTAATCCTATGTTGAGGGAGGGGAAAGTAAGACCAAGAGTTATCTTTTTAGGTCAGAGTGCAGGTGAGAAAGGGTGGTTAGATTTTAAGATAAGATGATGTTAATAATGATAAAATAAGTGGTTTAGAAAAATAAGAACCATGCAAATGTCTGACTGTTCCTATGAGGACTGAAAGAAACCATCATCTGCTCTGCCCAATACCACCCTCCAAAACTTTCCAAAACTCATTTGCTGTTTTGCTCAGCAGTCCCAGGTAATAACTGAGACAAAAGTGGAATTTCCTAATTTCCTAGGAAAGGGCCAGAAATATCTTCTGACAGGAACAGGAAGCATAAAAATATCTCTCAGGAGAGCACCAATTGTTTAGAGATTCTAGCTTGTGTTTGGAGCTCCAGCAGAGGTGCTCAGGGCACCAGAAGCTGTGTGCAATCAGCAGTACACACTGACTCTGAGGCAGGTGTGTGTAACACTGAGATACTTCCCAGGAAGCACTGATTTGAATGAGATTTTGGGCAACATTTTGGGGATCTGTCATGATCTAGAATATCAGCTTGGAAGCCTCCCAGTATCATGATTCTCAAACATTGTGGAGCAAAGAACTCCCTTTCTATATGAGGGAAATCTCATATAGAATTTACCTATGAAACCAATTAAAAAGATACACTGGGTAAAGGAAGCAGAGCCCCTGCCTCTTGCTGCTCACGCTCCCACACCCCAAGTTGTACCTGCGGCAGGGCATTTCCATGAAGCCTCAGTTTGAAAGCTACTGATTTAGTAGGTCTTGTGTTAAAAGGTCTCTAAAGAGATTTTTTTTCCTATGATGTATTACAGTTCTACAGTTGTATTGCAATAATACAACACAATTCTACAGTAGCACCTCTGACTCCTTTGTCATCCTTGCTCTCCAAAACATGGCAAGTCATCTAATAAAATCTCTGCAATGACCAGCATCTGTTTTCTCTGTTGCAGACCATGGCCACCATCTCAATCCAGACCCTTCTTACTTTCTCCTGGACAATGACCAGTACATGATATAAGTTATCCCAGTTCCAGGCTCTCTGTTGCCTACTGCCTTATCCATCCAATAGTCCCTTTCCAGATCAATGCTGATGAAGACGTCTCCTTGAACTTCTTTATGCTTTGAAATCTTCAGTGACTCCTTGTTGTCCAGTCCCGCCAATTTGGACTATCTCCCTTTTCAGAAGAACCTTGTGTCTTTGATCTTTATTTATCTGATCCCCTCAACTTGAATTTTCCTCAGTCTTAAAGATTCAACTTAAATGTCACCTATTCCATGAAGTCACCTATGAACTTCCCACTGGAAGTGAATATTCCTTCTAAACTCTCCTAAATAAGAGTTTTGATAATATACCAATTTAGTTGTTGTACACTATTAGCTACTTGTTTTATCTTTTTGACTGTGTTCTATGCATCCTTGTAGCATACAAAGCAGCTTGCTGAGGTAGTAGGTACCCTTTGAAAATAAGAAAGCAAAAAGTTTGATGCTGATCAATCAAGTGTCTCTGGACACCTAAGGAAGACAAAGTGGCAATATAGGGCTGACTATACTGTTCTCCATATTTCAAAATGTCTAATAAAATTAATTGTGACATGCTCATAGAAACATACAACTGAACTGAAATGCTGAATTTTTGTGTTTGTTTTTGCTTTTGGCTGAAGTTAATACCGAGTGATGACACATTATTTTATCAGAAGCTCTCTTTTGCTGTTATAAATTACTTTGCCTCATTAAAAACTGAGATACTGCTTAACATACTTCCCTTGGTAGGTGTTATTGACTCAATTATGTGTACCGCTCCCTGCCCTACCCCCATCCATATCATATGTTAAAGTTCTGTGCATGATATGAGTATATTTGGAGGTAGTGCATATAAAGAGGTGATAAAGGTTGAGTGAGATCATAAGGGTAAGTCCTTAATCTGATAGAACTGGTGTTTTTATAAAAGAGGATGATCTCTCTCTTTCTCTCTGCATGTGCACAGAATAAAGGCCATGTGAGGACTCAAGAGAGAGGATGGTCATTTACAAGTCAGGAAGAGAGCTTTCACCAGAAACCAATCCTGACCACTTGATTCCAGACTGCTAGGCTCCAGAAAGGTGAGAAAATGAATTTCTATTGTTTAAATCTCCCAGTCTGTGCTATAACATCATGGCAGCTCAGGCAAACTACTACAGTAAGCAAAACAGTTCCAAACCAGAGATTAGGGGAACAGGAGAAGCAGTAGAGGTTCTTGGGCTTGACAATCTGGGGAAGCACTGCTGTAACACCTTCCCTTCTCCAAGGTTAAGGACAGACTCCACAAGTGACTGCCCGGAGAGCTGTCCTCCTAGTTCAGGAGGGCAGAGGCTACCTGGGTTTGCTCCAGATGGAATCACTGATGCCTTGCCTGGTTCCTCTCAGCTCTTAGCCACTTTGAGCTGAGTGAGTAACTCACTTATTTCAGACATGTTATTTTATTAATATATAGTGCTTGAAAATTTCTGGGAAAGAAGTTAACAGCCTATATGTTTTTTAGGTCTGACTTGAAACCTGCAGTTTCTAAGCTCCCTTTCTTTCCATATTGTCATTTATAAGATAAACAGTTACTAAGCCTTCACTCAGTTTTTTAATAGTGGACATACTTTGTCTAATAATTTCCCCTGAGACTCTGCCTTTACTACAGTTCAAGTTCTTTCTTTAGCTTTCTATCAAGTTCTTTTAAGTTACAGGATCCTAATGTAAACTCAGGATTCCACTGAAGTGACTAATGTTTAGCTTAGGTGGAGATAAATAAATACATATACATTCAGATATTATGCCAATCTTTAATGCTCTTCTGCCCAAAGAAGAACCTCCCATTGTTTTTGAGATGATAGAGTGAGTTTACTCTGGAACTTGAAAAACAAGTCAAAGTATAAACATACCACTAATTTAATGTTCTTTAAATAAACTCATCAGCTACTAAGACCACTCTGGCATTCCTGGATGATACTGGGGACCCTTGTTAGCTGAGCAACTGTAAGACACTCTGAGATTTAGAAACAGATGTTAGAGGATATTTACAAGACAGAGATTAAGAACTTGGAGCCAGATTCCCTGAGTTGTGACCTTGAGTGAGCTACTCAATTTTTTATTCAACTTCTATATGACTCAGTTTCCTCATCTGTAGACTAGTGCTAATAGTAGTGCCTTCCTCACTATGTTGTGAGCAAAACTAATAATAGAGTACCTCAAACAATGCCTAGGACACAGCCAGTGCTAAGCAGGTGCTTAGGCATTAAAAGAATGACAGCTGTCCTGTAAGGTTGTTATAAAATAACAAGGGGCCCTCTCAGGGCTGAGGCTACATCAGGGAGACCTGGAATCATCCAAAGGATGGGGACTACTCCACTGATGCAGGAAGAGACAGAGACTCTGTCTCAAGAGCACTTCCTACAAATCTCAGCCCCCTCTAGAAAAGTACTAGCTTGAGGACTAGCCTTGGCAATTTTCATTTTGGGGAACTAGCTCTTCCAAATCTCTTGTCAGTATCTTTCTAGTTTATATCAGAGACCATACTCCTCCCTCCCCAAAGTCACATCATCCTCCCTCCCCAAAGTCACATCATCCTCCCTATAGAAAGCCTCCCTTATTAGCGAAAGAAACATAATCCTGCTATTTCCTAAGAGTCTGGCAACACCCTGTTTTCAAGAATATTCCATGAGTAAATTCTCCCCATCTCCACTCCCTTCCTCTGAAGGACACAGAGTCTCCAGTGGTCCTGTTCCTAGGTTGCATGTGCTGGGAGAAGGAGAAAGTAGAAACCTTCCCTATCATTTCATGCCTTTCTTGAAATCCCCATCCTGAACACCTACTATGTGCTCGCCAGGCTTTCAGGAAGTGATGTGACCTTCTCAGCTCCTCCAGATGCCTCGAAGCAGCAGTTTTCTTTGAAGCTTGAATTTTATTCTAAAGTGCACCTTTCCAGGCCAGGCACTAGTACTGGAGTGAACCCGTGAGCTCTCTCACTAGCCTCTCGCAGCCATGATTTAGTTTTATATTTTAGGCCTCTTTGTAATTACGTCGAAAACACTTCCTTTTCTGGATTCTCAATTTCCTGAAATCCATTAAAGTCTAAGCCCAGCTGCATTTTTGAGACTAGCGGTTCTCATACTTTAATGTGCCTGTGAACAACCTGGGCATCTGGTAGAAAATGAAGATTCTGATTCTGGAGTGGGACCTGGGAGTCTGCATGCCCAACACTGGCCCATGTGCTGCTGGCGCTGCTGTCCTTGGGCCATGCTTGGAGTCTCCATGACGTCGACTCCTCCTCCCCATAGTCATTCACGCTCCTGGGCAATTCTGATACACTGACAATTCTGACTTCCAGAAAGGTCCTTTCAAAAAATATTTGCTTCCAAATGTTGAGTTCTGATTCTGCCCAGGCTAGAAAAGGCTATCGAAGTAGGCTTCCTCTTTACCTTATCACACAGGCTCAGTTGGCAGCAATGATGCTGTGTCTATTATAATACAGTGATTTCAGTTGATGTTTATGATGAATCAGTAATCTCTCATTGGCTCTTCCTTCCTTTTGCAGAGTGAAAAGACAGTCTCCTCTCTGGACCTCTGTCACAGGTCATTTAAGTGTTAGAAGACGTATGGACACCAGTCCCCATGTCCCTCATCTTGTCTATTGTCATACTTCCTGTTTTCCCATGTGGAGCTTAATGCTTAGAGTCACCCTGAAGGGTGTGGAGGGGGCAGACAGCAGTATCCAGGAAGCCCGATATGGGAGACTGTAAATGTTCATTGGATACACTTAGGTCTCTGTCCTGGATACCGTCTGGGAACCTCCTGGGTAAGTCACCTTGGAAAGGCTCATGTCCATGGCTGGGCCAGTGGTCTGTTCTGCATTCCATCCTCAGCCCTGCCCCTGGGGTTCTGAGGAAGCAGGAACAAGGACTCTGTTAAACCATCCCCATCCACCCTCTTCACCAGATCAGGACCCCATGTTTCCCTCAGGCTCGGATACTAAATCTCTGGGTTCTAACTAGGACAGCAGTGGGACTCTGAGTGATTCTGTTCCTTAAGTTGGCTTCTCTTTAACAGTTTATAATTTGATCTATTTATTAGACAATTATAGAACTTTGTTGCTTGCATTAACCTTGACTTTGTTTTATTCTTTTCAAGTCATCCCAGGAGGTGAAGGGACTTGTTCAGGTTCCTTTAACTGATAAGGGTGATATGATAGTTAGTGGCATGGCCAAGAACCAGAATAGTTAGTTCCAGACTCACAGTTTAGTGCTTTTTCCCACTCTACTCGATTCTGGGAGACTTTCCTATTGATAATTCAACTTAAGGTTAACTAGAAACAGTAAAGAGTGAAGTGATAGTATATTGCATGCATGCCTGCTTAGTCATGTCTGACTCTTTGCAGCCCTGTGGACTGTAGCCCACTAGGCTTTTCTGTCCATGGGATTCTTCAGGCAAAAATACTGGAGTGTGTTGCCATTTCCTCCTCCATGGGTAGTATATGAGAAGTAAACAGTTTTTTTCTTAAGGATATCTATATCTATCTATCTGTCTATGTATATATATATATTGTTGTTGTTGTTTAGTCACTAAATCATGTCTGAGTCTTTTGTGACCCCATGGACCATAGCCCTCCAGGATCCTCTGTTCATGGGATTTCCCAGACAGGAATATTGGCGTGAATTGCCATTTCCTTCTCCAGGGGCTTCGTGATCCAGGGATCAAACCTGTGTCTCCTGCATTGGCAGGCAGATTCTTTACCACCAGGGCTCAGTGGTAAAGAATCTACCTGCAATGCAGGAGACCTGGGTTCGATCCCTGGGTCGGGAAGATCCCTTGGAGGAGGGCATGGCAACCCACTCCAATATTCTTGACTGGAAAATCCCCACAGAGGAACTTGGCTGGCTATAGTCCATGGGGTTGCAAAGAGTCAGACATGACTGGGTGACTAAGCACAGCACTAAAGTTCTAAAGCTAAGGATGATTAAGTCCCTTGAAACAATTTGAAAGAAAATAAGGCTGGAAGTCAGAAGACATGGTTCCTGGCACTGCTGCTTGTGAGCTTTGCATCCTTGAGTGAAGCAACTCAACCCCTCTAAGATTCAACTTTCTTACCTATAAAATGAGAGAGTTTGAATTCCTAAACTCCCCTTCCAGATCTAATATCCTGTGATCCCTTTGATTTTACGGTTCCCACTGCAAGGTCTAATAGAGTTACACATCCAGTGATAATCACCCACTGGCTGGCATTCAAACAGGTCTCCTCTATGCTGAATTCTGTGCTGCAGTAGAGGCTTCAGGCCTTGTCTCTGGTTTAAGTCGCATTTCAAGGTGTCTGCTGGCATTAATCACAACAGACAATAATTCCAAGGAAACAATACAGAATGAGGCAATCATTCATGCACCACAAAGAAACACTGGCCGGTCTCCAGGCATTCAGACTCAGTTCAGCCTCCAAATAACAGGCACTTGGCACCTTACCTGTGACCTGGGGATTGACAGAATCACAGGTGACAGAACCGCTGTTCCCAGGACTAATAGCATACCGACAGGAAGAGAGGTTATACTTAGGGCACACTTAGCTTGTCAAATTATAGCACTGTTTATCAAAGGGTAGCATACACACTGTGACTGTGAACCTTGAGAGGCACTATAGAATAATTCTGCTGTGGAAGAAGAAGCCAGCCGTGATTTTAAACCCTGATTTTGCTCTGGCTCTTGTTGTGATTCTAGATGGTTCTACAGCCCTGGCATCCCACAATACAGGGCTTTGCTAGACATTTGTCTTGCCTTCTGCTGGTGTCTATATAATGCATTCCTTTGGTCCTACATTTGGCTTTTCAGAGCTGCTTAGTGCAGGGTGCCATGCTATAGTTCACTTTGTAAATAGACAACAGTATAGCATGTAACAGTCACATCCTCGGTGAATTTAAGTGAAGACATCTTTGATCTCTAGACATCCCGATTTCCTTTAAAGCAGCCATGCCACTCCATGTAATGGAGGGCATAATTTCAAAATAAATATTAATATACAGAGTCTGCACTGTGCTCGAGAGTCCTGTTAGCTGTAGAATGCAGCACGGATCACTGCTCTAGTCTCCAAGAGACTTGGGCTAATGCAGCTTTTAATGTTATGGGATTTCTCCAACTCATTGGTTCCCATGGAGTCATAAACGTTGATACTTGACTCCATTTAGGTAAACACTAGAATCTCTAGCTTCCAACAAAACACAACACACAAACTAAGAAATTCCTGGAAGGGAAAAGAGGGCCATATTGCATGTTACTCAAAGTACAGCTGACCACTCATTTCTCGTTTTTTTTTTTTTTTTTTTAAGAGCATTTGTTTCTTCATGTATTTTTTTCCCTTTATGTACAGGATTTGGGCTTTAATATGGACATTTTCCCACTACCATTCATCCTGGGAATGCTGTTTTCCCCAAGTTTCTCAGGATAAAAAGACTCAGATTCAGAGCTGAACTGCTGGCAGCTGAATTTCATTAAGACTTTGATGGGAAACTTAAGTTGGAATTACAAACATCTGTGGTTAAACTTCCCCTTTAGTAAACCATTTCCCAGAATTTAACTTTACCACACTAGCAGCAAAAAGAAAAACAGCTGAAAAAAGAATGCTGCTCTTTGGCAAATGCTGGAATAGATACTTAAATATTCTTCTATGTGATGACTATATCTTCGTCAAGTAGCAGCTTAGTTGCTTTAGAAAACACATTAAGTAATTGTTTGGAAATGCTAAGCTTTGGAACTCAGAGCATGTGCTGATGATCTGATTTTAATGGTTTCTAATCAATCAAATGTCTCAGAATTATGTCTGGCCATCATTATATGGTTGCTTTGAGCAAAGAAAAACTCCATTCCTAAAAGAGAGGAGTATTTTGGCATTACATGTTTAAGGAAATTATAACAAGTCAGATTTGAGAATTTAATTGTGAATGGGGGAAAAAAACTTATAGTCCTTGTCATATCAAATTTACTGCGGTTTTTCTTTTTGTTTAGCTTTTTCGAGATTTTGAAAAACTCATTCATTTCTCTTAACTAGTCAGATTCCTGGGGAAAGGTTATGTTTAAAGAACCATTAGGGATACAATAATTAAACTAGTTTCCTTCTCCAATGTTGAATAATCAACAAATTTGTAAGCAAAATTTGAGAGTAATCAAATTTACAGAATAAATAAAAATTTAGATGAAAATAAGCAAATACTACAAACCTAAATTTGCAGGTAGATAAAAACAGATAGTGGAAGAAAGAGGGTGAGTAGGGAAGGAGAAAAGAGAGAATGAGGGCAAACTTTGAGTTAGGCAGCTTATATACATAATTTCACTTAAATTTCACAAATAAGGCAAATACATTTGTACTCATTTTAAACCAAACAACCAAGCCTCTGAGCTAACCTGCCTAAAAGTCAAACAGCTAGAAAGTAGGGGAGCTGGATTCCTACCACACCTGTCTGGCCAGATGCGCATATCACGCCTTTGATGAAAGGTGAATTTCAAATGTAAAGCAGAGGACTGCAAATAAACAGTCTTCAGGCTGAACTGGACCATCAGATGTGCTTCCCTCAGGGTGTTAAAAAAACTGAGTCAGCAATTTCACTGAAGAATCCAGATTCTATCTTCTCGTTAAACACAGAGGTGGGTGCCCCCAGAAGAGGCACGCTTCCTCTGCTGTTTTTTGGGCCCCATCAAATCATAGGACGTGTTCCTTTCACTGCCCAGTTGTTTTCTGCTTGGTCTTTATAAAAATCTGAGCTTCAAAAGTTTCTCTGTTCCATAGGATCAGCAATTCTGTTTCTAGGTATATACCCAAAAGAACTGAAAGAAGAAACTCAAATGGATAATTGTAGACCAATGTACATAGCAACACTTTCCATAGCAGCCAAAAGGTAGAAACAACTCAATGTCCACCAACAGGTAAATGGATAAACAAAATGTGATATATACGTAGAATAGAATATCATTCAGCCTTAAAAAGGAATGAAATTTGGACACATGCTACAAAATGGATGAACCTTGAACACGTTATAGTGAGTGCAATAAGGCAGATAAGAAAAGACAAGTAGATTCCACTAATATGAGATACCTAGAATAGAATGGTGGCTGCCAGGGCCTGGGGAAAAGGCTAATGGGAATTATTGCTTAATGTATACAGTATTGAGTTTCAGTTGGGAAGATGAAAAAGCTTTGGAGATGGATGGTGGTAATGAAGATGGATGGCAATGGATGATGATGAATGATGAATGTACCTAATGGCATTTAAAAATGGTTAAAATAGTAAATTTTGTGTCTATTTTACCACTGTTAAAAATTTTTCTTCTGATTAAATCTGAGAACTCTAGAATCACAGCAAATGGAATTCTCTATTTTTCAGCAATCTTATAATAAATTGTGTAATATAGGTCATGTAATTTATGCTACTCATCTAGGAGGTTGGGTGTTAGTTGCCCAGTCATGTCCGACTCTTTGTGACCCCATGGACTGTAGCCTGCCAGGCTCTTCTGTCCATGGGATTCTCCAGGCAAGAATACTGGAGTGGGTTGCCATTTCCTTCTCCAGGGGATCTTTTTGACCCAGGGATTGAACCCAGGTCTCCTGTATTGCAAGCAGATTCTTTACCATCTGAGAGCCACCAGGGAAGCCCTGCATAAATGGTCTTTGAATGGTATTTTAAATATCTTCATTTTATTCCCAAACTTTGACGAAAATTATTTCCACATATAGTTCTATTTACCTAGCCACATTTTCCTAGATACTCTTGCAAGTTGAATTACTTACATGAACTCCTTCTTAGCTGTGCCACTTAGCAGGCAGGATGCCTGGGCAAATGCTCTGTGCCTCAGTTTCCATGTTTGAAAATGAAATGATAACTATGCCAGTCTATTGAATTGTTATGAGGGTTAAAGGAAATAACTCACGGCAAGTGCTTAGACCAGTGTCTGACACATGGTAAATACTCAATGAATGTCATCTATAGGCCATGGTATTACCATTATTATTATTATTGTTGTTGTTACTATATTCCAATTTTTCTAAAATAATGTTTCCTGTGAGCCTTGTTCAGAGTTTGATGAGGGGCTGTGCTCTCCTACCCCAGGAGTAGTACTTTTTCTATATTACCCGCATGGCATTTGTGATAATCATTCTTACAGAGCATTAATTCACTCTGCTTTATATAGTGGCTATGTATATATCTTTCTATCTTAGATTGCTTACTCCTTGAGGGTTGGAATGCTTTTTTTGTGTCCCTCCTGGCCCTTGCTTTATTGCCGTTTACGTGGCAGAACTCAAAACCTCCTCTTTGGAGGATATTGAATGAAACAGGCTTCCCAGGTGGCACAGTGGTAGTGAATCTGCCTGCCAAATTCAGGAGATGCAAGAGATGCAGGTTTGATCCCTGGGTTGGGAAGGTCCTCTGGAGTAGGAAACAGCAGCCCATTCCAGTATTCTTGCCTGGGAAATTCCATGGACAGAGGAGCCCGGTAGGCTACAGTCCATGGGGGTCACAGAGAGTCGGACGGAGTCAGACGGACAGAGCACACACACACAAGTGAATGAAATAACGACTGCATGCCAAGGTGGATGTGAGGGTGTCAAATTAGCAACCACACTGTTGAAGAGCAGTACAGGATGATGGCCCAGGCCAGCGACTGGAAGTCTTTGTGTGATTCTACAGAGCCTCTTTCAAAGTCTGGGAGCAAGATAAGGAAAAGGAAAGCAGATAGTGAAAGAGATCTAAGCTGTCTTTTAATAAACATACTGCAGTCCTTTAGTGGCCAGGCACCTAACTATGTGTTGGAGTACGGGATCACAAATAGACCATGAAGGGAGTCTAGAAGAAAAGTCCATCAGAATGAGTCTGCTTCATAGTGCTTGTTTTTTAGCAAGCAGGTTGGTGGCTCAGACGGTAAAGCGTCTGCCCGTGATGAGGGAGACCCAGGTTCAATCCCTGGGTTGGGAAGATCTCCTGGAGAAGGAAATGGCAACCCACGCCAGTATTCTTGCCTGGAAAATCCTATGGACGGAGGAGCCTGGTAGGCTACAGTCCATGGGGTCGCAAAGAGTCGGACACGACTGGGCAACTTCATTTCATTTCTTGTCTCATGCAAGGTATACTTGTACATGCAGTTCATGGGGGACTAATTTTCTTGGAGGGAAGCTAAGAGCAGCAGCAGCAAAACCCAGGCAGGTTATTAGGAGATACACTCCTGTTTGCCCCTCTCAGAGAAGTTTGCTCAACATTGTCAGTGATTGCCCTTATTTTCTCAATAATCTACCAAAGGCAGTAGCAGCATTGTGGCCCTCCTGCCACTTCACACTTTGCCCCTCCAGCAGAGTCCCCATCTCCTCCTGAGTCTCTGGGTGGCTTCCTTCCAGCCAAAAGGATATAGACAACAAACAAATGGTGATATTAAGTAAAACAGCACCATAAAATAAAGTCCTGAGAAATATGCCCAACTAATGGTTTCTTTTAGTCAACCTCTAACCTAGTGTTTGTGACCTTGTTTAACTCCTGCTCCTTTCTCATAGACAAGAATGTCACTCTTTCCAAGGACACTTTGATTCCTTCCCCGGGGATATTACTTTCTCTGTCCTTGCATCCCCGCCCATTCTTTTGCGTCTCCATATTGGCCATGAAGATTTGTGCCTAGTTTCACTTGCTATTGGAGAAGGCAGTGGCACCCCACTCCAGTACTCTTGCCTGGAAAATCCCATGGACGGAGGAGCCTGGTAGGCTGCAGTCCATGGGGTCTCGAAGAGTCAGACATGGCTGAGCGACTTCACTTTCACTTTTCACTTTTATGCATTGGAGAAGGAAATGGCAACCCACTCCAGTGTTCTTGCCTGGAGAATCCCAGGGATGGGGTCGCACAGAGTCGGACACGACTGAAGTGACAGCAGCAGTAGTAGTCACTTGCTATAATATGTACAATAAAATTAAGACTTTGTTTTCTTAAATGTGGAATATTAGGATACTAAATCAACTTTATGACACTACCTAGTTTCCCCTTTCCCCACCCCTACCTACTGAAAATCATTGTTCTCACCATACACTCAGGAATAATGGACTCAGTAAATTATCTGCCTATATAAAAAAACAAAGCAGGTAGTGAGGAAATCCTGCCAACTAGCACAGAGTTACCCATGGGTACTCCTCTTTTCACATTCTCTGCATCCTGGGGGAAGCTTGTGCTTATTTTAGAACGTAAGGAGGGGCCTTCTTTCTTGGTCAGCCAGTGCATCCTATCCTTTTCCTCATTGCACTTTTAATGCATCTGGTCTCCAACTCACACTGTGCACCAATGTGCCTTCCTCTGTGCTGAGGGTGGAGGGCTCAGGGGTGGAGAGGAGGTCAGTCCTGCTATGGAGGAGCATGGGAGAGCCTTAGAAAGACTGCCAGCCTAGCACCTCCCACTGCTCCACCCTTGCTTTAATATTTTTCTTCCTTCCCTTTGAAGGCATATTGAGGAATAACCATTTATATATATGTACATATATATACATATGTATATGTTTATATCCTATTCAAATAAAATGAATGTATTTTTAGAATATCCTTCCATCCACTTCTCAAACCTCCCATGAATAATGTTCTGTATGAACCCATGTTCTCTTTCTATAGATGAAAATACAGCCTCCTGAACAAATTCATCAGAGTGGTTGCACCATGTTATTAAATCTCCAGAATGTATTTGATTTCAGGTCTCCTTCCTGGCTATAAAGAGCATGGGAAACCCGACTGGTGGGGCATTGGGATCGCTGTGGGACCGCAGGCTGACTGGAGGCATTATGTGAAACTATGCAGTGGGAACATAATTATCCCAATCCCACCCTTTCTACATCATATACTTTGAGTGACTAATAGCTTCTTTCTGTTTCCCTAAACCAAAAACCTCAATGGGCATTCTGAACCTATTAGTCTCTGACAGTATTACAAATTTAACTCACTACAGGACATTCTTTTTGATTGAAAAGATACAGACAAGCAATATTAAGTAAAATAGCAGCATAAAAATAAACTTCTGAGAAATATTCCCAAATAAGGGTCTCTTTCAGTTCAATAATCCATGTATTCTTCATAATAATAATAAAGACAACTCTTAGGATGTATAAAGCATTTACACTGTCAGTCACTGTGTTAAGCCCTCTATGTATTTTTATCTAATTTCATCACAGTTAGTATATGAAGTATGATGTAGACATCAGTAACTTCTCTAAGCATCAGTCCAGTTTCTTTATCTGCAAGTTGGGCATCTGTAGTTTGCCTAAGGTAAGGAGCACAAAAGCTAAAATTTGAGCTTGGGACCATCAGACTGCAAAAGCCTGCAATCTAAAACTCTGATGTGCTGACTTATTATTTCACTGGGTATGTGAGTGCATAAGAAATTGTTTGGGGTTTCGGCAATAAATTTAAGGTTCCCTAAAAATAAAATAATTATTTTCTTACTTTTTGTGAGAGAAGAATTACAAAAAATTATGTGTGCCTGTCTTTTTAGAATTAGCAGGTAAAAATACAGAATGCCCAGATAAACTGAATTTCAGATCAACAATGAAAAATCTTTTTAACATAAATACATCTCATGAAATATTTAAGACATAACTAAAAATCTATTTGTTGTTTTTCTGAAATTCAAGTTTAATTGGGTGTCCTGTATTCTATCTGGCATTCCTACTCTTAAGTCAAGCATTTCATCCTGGAACTTTCCACACTCAAAGCAACAGGTGGAGATAATGCTTCCTGAGGGGTTGATTCCAAGCTTGTAGAGAAGTGAAGCCTTCCCACTGTGTGGAGTGTCTCCTAATCGGCGTCTCTCTGCATCTGAGTAGAAAGTTGACTAGAAGGCATGCCCCTCTTTCTCATGGGGATTACATTTCACACCACAATAGGGGTTGGTATGCTCTGGCCCTACCCATCCTCCCCTCATTTTAGGGCGTGGGTAGAGCTCACTCCTGGAGAAGGACCATCTTCACGCAGCATATCTTATCAGTAGTAATTAATAAAGCTACAGTTATACTAACAATTAGTAGGACTAGTAGCAATAATCCAGACTTCAGTGCTGTAAGAAATGGATCGGTCCACATAGTAGCTTTGGTTCTACAGTTGCTGTAACCATGGCTGTGGGGTGTGTGTATGTGTGTCTTCTTAGGTCAACTGCTCTTTCTTTCCCGTGAACTTAGGTGACTTCATTTCCCTCCCACTCAGCATCCCCCACACACGGGACATGCTGGTGTCTGTCTTGGTTCAAGGGGCTCTTAAATCACTTACTCTGGGTCCATCTTCCTTTACCCAGTTTCTACACTTTGGTTATGTTTTCAGTGTAAATGCTATTGCAAGGAATTCAAATTACAGCTCTTTGAATATCATCAATAGCATATATTCATCATTTTTACATTTGGTTTGGGGCTTGACTTTCATCATGACCTCTTGTTTCTGGAATATAATGGCTCCTGTCTATTTAAGGTATTTCCTCTGCAGTTTGCTAACAGCTTCTTTAGTGCCCTCACCCACCCCTCACCGGCCCCCCTTGCAGAGGACCTTCTGCTAATTTGCTACCAAAAGATTGGCTCCGCACTGTTGTTCCCACTGTCCTAATATCACCGAGAGGAGGAGCAGGAAGCCAGTGACAGGGCACACACATTATGCGGTGTGACTTGACAAAAATGACTCTACTGGACATACAAGTGGCAGAAAGTCACAGGAGTGTCACTGTGGCCCTAGGTGACAGTCTAGCCTACTGACTCAGAGGGTTCAGGACACATGCCCTTTTGCCAGCTCGAACAAGGACATGTTCCAAAGTCTCCGCTCTCAACTCACAAAGTCCAAATCTAAAGTACAAAGTAAAACTCTTTATTTCAAGTTTCTGAACTGACCTAGTCCAGGTGAAACTCTCAAGGCGGGTGGAAAAGGGAAGGCAGGGGAGAGGAACAACGAGTGTGGCACACGCCGCACGGGGCGCAGGTGCCCCAGTAGGGTGACAACGGCAGGGGCACTGTACCTTGGCCGCAGGCGGCAGGCTTCCGGGAGCCACGCGGGGCTCGCTGGTCTCAGGCGGGTCTAGTCGGCCGAACGCTGAGCTCCCTTCAATGTCAAAGGCGCTGCCGTCCCCAGACGCGGCGCGGGAGCAGGCGGCGCCCCAGAGGAGCCACAGGGGCAGGACTGCGCACCAGGCTGAGCTCAAAGCCATCTCTCCGCTGACATCCGACAGGGCTCGTCCAGGGGCTCGGCCACTGTTAGTCCTCGCCAGTCCCCGCTGTGATGCGGCGGTGCCTCGCTTAGAGTACCTTCTTTGCGTCTGCGGTATCCAGATGTGGGAACTCAGGGCAGCCCCGGAGCAACTTAGTAGAAAAAGGGAGAGTGAAAGAGTAAGCTAGAGCCTGCCTCCCTCCCTGCTTCCCTCTCTCTCTTCTTTCTCTCTCCCCTCTGTTTCCCTCTCTCACTTTCTCTCTCTCTCCCCAGAGACACTGGCTAAAGAATGTACAGATGGATGCAGCTTAAAACTCAGCATCAAGCGGCGGATGGGTTTGGGACGAGACCGGGAGCGCAGGCCACCTCCTGTCCCCGGCGGTCGGGTGGGGACTGAGGATTGCGCTGCCCTGGCTTCCTTCCCACACCCATTCTCACCACTCCCTTTTTACCTTCTCTTCCAGGACCTCCCCCTCCAAGCTGGTCTTTCAGGCACTCTGGCTGGGCCTTTCCCGGCGTCCTCCCCTCCCCTCTCAGTTTGGAGCCCCTCCAAAGTGCCCCAGATGAATATTCAGCTTTTGTAATTGCTTCCTCACTTCTCTTATTTATTTAGCTAAGGTGCCGGATGTCTTATCTATATTTATGCAGATCTTTTATGTGGCCCCGCTGGTTTGCAGGAAAGTGGGTGGGAAAGGGATTCTGGCTGGAGCCAGAGGTGGATGCTCCCAGATGGCAGGGGAGAGGGCACCCACTTCCTTGGGCAGCTTTCTCCTTTTCTAGAGATAGGCTGCTGCGGTCTTTGTGCTCATACCTTCCCTGGAGACTGGCTGGCCACCCTCTTCCTCCCAACAGTCCTCACCCAGAGGGCTTGGGAAAAGAATATCTTTCACTCCAGCGCTGGAAAATGACTTCATTACTCAAATGCATGAACTTTTATTTACAAAGAACATCTTGTTTTCCTCCTAAAGCGGTGCTTTGTAAGGGGCCCGAAACAAGGCTTGCTGTGTATGAGCCTGTCAAATATACTGCCTAGAGCCCGACCTCTTCCTCTTGGCCTGTAATCTCATGCCTACTACATCTGTCTGTCATGTAACCTTTCCAAGACTTTGGGGTAAAGTTGAGCTACAATTATGTTGGGGTACCCATGTAGATGGGTCAGTGGCCACTAGAGCTGAGATACCTTTGCATTCATGGGCTTTATAAGGAGCTTTAAACATTCCTATGAGACCCAAACATGTCTTAAAAAGGATTATACAAGACACTCATACAATGACACTTAAGTAAGTTCTGAGGTGTTTGAAATCACTCACAGTTGTGCAATAAAACATTTTAATAAAACCTGTTAGCTCTATTTATAGGACAAAAATCATTTTATCTAAGAATATACAAAGCAGCCATTTATTTTGTACCTATCATATGCCAGATACTTTGCATGTATTATTTGTAAGCCTCACAGCATTTTTGCAAAATAGGACTATTATTTCTTTTTTATAGAATTAAAAAAGGAGGTTATGAAAGACTAGGACATTTGCCCATCACACAGCTGGTAGAAAGCTGGACTCAGTAATCACTGATTCTAAAACTACCTTTCACATTTATACCATACTGAAACTTGCAAAATAAAGGCCACAAATTCAGAGACAGAAAAGATGACATGCCCATTTTTTTGGAGTACCTTCTAGGTGTCAAAAAGTTTGCCTTATCTAATTTATTTCCATCTTCACTATAGTGAGGTAAGTATTGTTATATACATTTGGTAATAGGTATGTGCTGAAAGTACTACTGGAACAGGCAAATCTGATGCTAAGTTCATAGATTTTTTCAACAACAAAATAGTATAGCGCAAAAGTACCAAAGCTGGAAGAAGCAAAAAGCTTTCATATATCCCAAAGTATCTGTAATGTTTTCATTTTAAGATGTAAAAATAGTGTTGTAATGAATCATTAAGCTAATTTATTATCGTCTTCTTCCACATAAGCTGGTTAACTTGCTAAATTAAATAAAAGAACTTAAGAATATATATTTGGTTTGGTTGGTTCTTTAAGAAAGAACCATCTTGTCTTGGGAGACAAGATGACCAGACTCTAAAGAAGAAAAACTTGATGCTCAAATATCCTGTCCCACTCTCACTTTTAAAAAAACTTTCAATAATAATAATCATTATTATTGTTACTATTATTTATGTACATATAATATTCTGACTTCAGACATAGGCCTCATCAGTACACAGAAGCTGTTCACATTTGTTTCCTGAAGGATTGTGTCCTGTCCTTCGTTTAATGTCAATTAACTGCACACTTTTTATTTTATTCAGAGTCTCTTTTTCCTGCTTGCCAGGTAGTGTTCAGATTCTCTGAGAGGCCTGAGCAGTGGGGGTGGAAATACACTTATTCAAGACATATGAGCTTTTAATTTTTTATTAAATGTGTGCTTCTAACTCTTCCTCCTCCTCTTCTTTCTACAGATACTACTAGTATTTTTGAGACAAAGCAAGTAATACACAGGAACATGAGTTTTGTATGAAAGAAAATAGGCTTCAAATCCTAGGTTTTTTACAGTGGTTCTGGGAGCTTGACAGAGCTTGATGTCTCTGAATGTCCATTTCCTCATCTGTAAAATGGGATCATGATGCCACGTTCATTGAGTAATAAATGAAATAATGTGACTAAAGCATTAACACAGACTGGCATATAGTCAGTGCTCAGTATTTACTATTTAACTACACTTTATTTTAAAGTCTTAAAAAAGAATAGAGTCTTTATTTTTAAAGAGAAAAAATAACTATGTTTATTTATCCTATGACTTGAGTAACCTTCCATTTGCTGAAAATAGCTGTTCACATTTCTGGTTGCTGCTTGGGACTTCCCTGTATAACCATGAATGAGGCAGTCGTGGATCTTAGAGTGACAGGGCAGGCGGGTGAGGAGGGAGACTGGCTAGCTATTTTATGGCAAATTGGAAGGCACTAGAACAAAGGTAATCATCACCAAAGGCCCACCTCAAGATCATCAAAGGCCTGAATGAGGCAGAATTTTATTTCTGCTAACACTACAACTGGGAAGTGTCTCTAGTGTGACTGCTCTCTTATCACGACTTTCCCTCTCTCCCTCTCCAGGCATTCAGCAAGTACCTTTATGTCCACTCTCCTTCTGGGACTCCCACCTACCCCGCAGTGGAAGGGGAGCTGCTCTGTCGTTACCAATGCACAGAGGAGAGCACAACATTGTGATAGGCTAAGAGGTTAAATGGGGCTTCCCTGGTGGCTGAGATGGTGAAGAATCTGCCTGCAATGCAGGAGACCTTGGTTCAATCCCTGGGTTGGGGAGATCCCCTGAAGAAGGGAATGGCTACCCAGTCCAGTATTCTTGCTTGGAGAATTCCATGGACAGAGGAGCCTGGCAGGCTACAGTCCATGGGGTTGAAAAGAGTCAGACCCAACTGAGTGACTAACACTTTCACTAGATGGTGTTAAATGGCAAGGACATTAGGCTGGTAGTGCAGGATGAGGGTCCCATGCCTTCTGATTCCTAGACCAATCCTTTCCCAACCAGACCAAGCTATTTTTAATTCTGACAGCAGCAGATCTGGTGGTTTGGAGGCTTTATCAACAGAGGGTCTGGAATTCTCTTCTGAGTTCCCTGCTACTGTTATCAACAGATAAATATCAGGGCTGCTTACTGCCTTCAGCACTTGGTGGTTGGGCCTGACCATAGCGTCCAAGGGTCTAGCGAGGGTGTTGTTAATGCATCCCATGTGCCCTTCTGCAAATAGAAAGTCACGTCAGATGCTATTTTGGATTTTTAAGTGCTAATCTTGGCCATAGTGAGACAGAGGGTTGTTGTGGGGACTGTGTACTAGTGACAGTTTTGTGATGAGATTGGTTAGAGAAGCAAGTATGAACTGTCCCTGCCGTGTGCTCTCTAATGGAGAGTCAGGTGGCAGGAAGGTAAAGGGGGGAGGGGGCACGTCTCCTTTCCTGTTCACACTTGTCTCCTCTCTGGTCATGAGTCTCTTCTGTGAGCAACTCTGGTGGGAATTTAGGCCACCTGAGGAGAAGAAACAGCAAGAGATCTGGGAGAAGATGGTACTTCTAGAGTGGTTCTTTACGCATCAGCTTGTTTAGGCTTTTGATCAGGATGTGGGTAATATATGCTCTCTCTGCTTAGTCTCCTGACTCTGACAGTTGTCACAGCCCCATCTGGCCTTAGCATGTGCCACTTGCATCCGTTCCATCCATTATCTATTTACTGTATTCATTAATTTGCTTATTTATTTAATCAGCATTTATCGAACACTACTATGTGGCATGTGAGATGCTCAGGGTAAAATAATAAAAACATGATCCTGTCTCCCAAGGAAGTCAGAGTCTGGTGGAATAGACCACACAATGACTCTTGTAAGGAATAAAAAGTGATTACCAAAAAATGGAAAGCAGAAGTCCAGATATCCTGATAATTAAGTATCTATATGGGCTTCCCTAGTGGCTCAGTAGTAAAGAATCCACTTGCCAAATAGGAGACACGGGTTCGATCCCTGGGTTGGGAAGATACCCCAGAGAAGGAAATGACAACCCACTCCAGTATTTTTGCTTGGGGAATCCCATGGACAGAGGAGCCTGGAGGGCTGCAGTCCATGGGGTCGCAAAAGAATTGGACACAACTGAGTGACTAAACAACAACATCAGAGTATCTAAATAGAACAAGCCCTTTACTGGGATGTGGCTAAGGAGGGTGGGCAAAGGCTGCAGAAGGGGGCAACAGTGCATCTTAACTGTGGAGAGGAGGGGAAGAATGGTGGTCCAAGGGGAGAACTATATGTGTAGAGGACAAACGCATCAGAGCCCCAATGCCGCAGGAGGATGAGAAGACCATGGGATATCCAAAGGCTCTTTGAGTTCCCATCTTCACAATGCGTAGTTGTGCATGGCCTTCAGGGACGTGAGAGGGAGCCCTGTAAGAAGAAAGGGCTTCCCAGCCTCCTATTCGCTTCTTGGTGCAATAGAGGGATCCTTCCCAAATGCCGATCTGAGGACTGGGGAGCTGTTCTCAGTTACACCGACGTCCCGCTCAATAGCTTGAGAAAACTTTTGGGAGGAAGAACAACTTGGAAAAGAAAAAAAAGTTTTTTGTTTTTTTTTAATTTAATTGTGGTGAGAACACGGAGACCCACCCTCTTAACCAGTTCTGAAGGGTACAGCGTGGCGTTTTATCTACGGGGAAGAACCACTTGTAAAAGCTCCATCCTCTCCCAGCACTCTTGCTGTTGTTTTCCTCAGGTGGCCTGAACTCCCACCGGAATCATTCGCAGAGGAGATGCGTGACGGGAGAGGAGAGTGAGCCGAAGAGCACCTCTTGAACCTTAACTTCCTGCCTCTTGATGGTCAGCTGGAAATCTCATAGTAGGGGAGAG